ACTAATCATAATGATAGTAATCATACTATCAATCATAGTAGTACCTTCTAGTATTGATATAAGAGGAGAAGGTGGAGAAGGAGGAGGAGGAGGAGGAAGAGGAGGAGAAGCAAGGGGAGAAGAAGGGGGAGAAATGTGGGTGAGGCGGGAGGACGAAGAGGAGGCGGGACCAGACGATGCTGAGGATGGTGATGGTGGTGATGATGATGGGGGAATTGGGGGAGGGGCCGGCACATGGGGATAGGGTGCACTAGTGTGGGTGTCTGGCTCCCTGTCTCGGAGGGCAGCTGTTCCTGACACCGACCCCCTGCCAGATCCGCACCAGGGCTGGGGGTGCGCGCTCGCTCTCGCGCGCTCGGGGCGTTGCCCCCCTCCTCTCTTGACCAAGTTGAGACGACCAAGCCGGACGATGAGAGCACGCCGGTACGGTTTCTGGTCAGTGTCGGGCTAACGTTTCGTCCTCTGCGGGGCTGATCCGAGCCAGTCTGGCTACTGGCGACGTGCACACAGCAAGGTACAGAGGCGCTCCGCCAGCACAGGTGGCCGGGAATTTTTGGGTAGCGTGTCGGCCGCGGGTCCTGGCCCAATCCACGCTTCGGAGCGACGCGCCATCCACTTTGCTGTCCCCAGGCGTCCACGTCTCGAGCCTTTCCCGAACTCCCGCCCCGCTGAGCGGAGCGACACGCTATCCGCTTGCAGGGGTAGCGTGTCGCCGGGGCCGCCGTGGCGACACCCTGTGCAAGAGTTCCTAGCCGTAGGCCGCTCGGCCGTCGCCGATTCGCGAGGATGATCCACGAACTTATGCTCACCAACATGGACGGCTGCAAAGGTCGACGCGACGTTTCCGCGTTCAGTCTAGATCATGATCCCCGTTTTCTTCCCTCCAGTGCCTCCCCTGCTTCCTCTCCGCGGCCGCACCCCCCCGCTCCGCCTCCTGCACGGGGCCAGATTCGCGTTCCAGGGGCCCCGCTGGAGCTCGCCTGGGCCAGGCTCTGTCCGCCTCCGCTGCCGGAGAGGCGCAGGAAATCATATTGCCCGACGGCAGGGATTCGGCGCGCGGGACGCGCGCGGCCTTCGTCGTCGGGGTCGCTCATTGTTAACGGGATTGCCTTGGGGACCTCGTCGCCACGGCTGTACTTCGATCCGAAGTGCTACTCAGCATGCGTTGGGGCATGACTCCCTCCCGATCCTCTGGCTCCCTCCCGCTCCCAGCTGCCATAGCCCCAGCTCCTTGCAGCCACGGAGTGCCCCCACGGCCGCTGCCAGCGGCACGCTACCCCTGCAAGCGGCGGCACGCCAGCGTCCTCGCGGCTGCAGCGACGCTGGTGGCGACGACCACGGCGTCGGCGGCCCTGGCGTCGACGGCGACGACAGCGGTAGCGACGGAGACGCGGCGCGGAGTTGGAGGAGGATCAGGAGGAGGGGGGGAAGAGAGGGAAGAGGGAGGTGGAGGTGGTGGAGGCGGAGGAGGAGGAGGAGGCGGAGGAGGCGGAGGAGGCGGAGGAGGAGGTGGAGGAGGCGGAGGAGGAGGAAGGAGGAGGAGGAGGAGTAGGCGGAGGAGGAGGAGGCGGAGGAGGAGAAGGAGGAGGAGGAGGAGGAGGCGGAGGAGGAGGAGGAGGAGGAGGAGGAGGAGGAGGAGGAGGAGGCGGAGGCGGAGGCGGAGGCGGAGGAGTGCCAAGCAGTCTCGGGGCCTGCCAGCCGAGAGGCCCAGCGGCAGTCGAGCAGCCGCCCACGACAGTCCGCTGCGCGCACGTGAGCAGCCTCTCGGCGGGGCGGCGCCCTCGGTGCGCGGCCTTCGGGTGGGGCGGGGGCGGGGGGCGGGTAGACCCACACCGCGCAGGCCGCTATGCTGCCGCACCGCGTGCGAGGATCGGCAGGCCGCGTGCTCCAGATTTCGTAATAAAAGGGAGGGGGTCTGGACCCTCCAAGACAAGCCATTTCAGACCTCCCCCGTGGGAGAACCCTCCAAAACATCGTCCCCAGACCCCCCCAGGCCCTCCAAGATAGCCTGGAAGAGACCCCCCCGAAATGAGACCCCCCTCCCTTTAGTACGAAATCTGGAGTACCAAGTTCGAGGAGGACAAGTCCATACGGAGGAAGGCCAGACCCTGGGTTTCTCAAGAAGCGTGGGGGGGCACCCCCCCCCGACGGGGGGTCAGCCTCGCCTCGTCGTCGCGCCGCGACGGGGGTCGGAGCGCCCTCGGCGCGCGGTGGCTGCCCGCGACGGGGGTCGATGTGCGGCTGTCGGCGGGGGTGACGCCCCCCCGACGCTGATGAGAAAACTCGAGGTACGGAATGCTCGATCTCCGTCTGGGCGTACTCCGCCTGACCCTCGTGCAGGGCTGCTCGTGCGTGCAGCTGACGCTCGCGGGGCGCAGAGCCGGGTGCACTGCCAGGTCCGTCTCCCTCGCAGCGCTGGCAGCACGAGCGCCTCTCGGGAAGGTCGGGGGCTCGACCGGAGGCTGCGGGAGGTGGCCCTGGGCCCTTCTCGGCGGCTCCCTCCTGTCGTGGCCGGCCTTCAGTAATTCTCTGGCATTGCGCCCCATTGCCTATGGACACGCCCTCTGGACTTTTCCTTGCGGGCCGCCGAACAACATTATCCCGGCAAAGCAACCTCACAGCGATGTGTAGGAGCAGATCTGGAAGCATTCCCCTTACGATTCATATGAGAATCCAGTTGTAGAATTCTGCTGTTCTCGCAGTCGTAGTCGCATTCGCGATGACAGTCGCAGTGGCAACGGCAGTCGCAGACACAGCCTCAGCCTCAGCCTGCCTCAGCCTCAGCCTCAGCCTGCCTCAGCCTCAGCCTGCCTCAGCCTCAGCCTCAGCCTGCTTCAGCCTCAGCCTCAGTCTGCCTTCAGCCTCGGCCTCAGCCTCAGCCTGCCTGCCTCAGCCTCAGCCTGCATCAGCCTCAGCCTCAGCCTCAGCCTGCCTCAGCATCAGCCTCAGCCTCAGCCTCAGCCTCAGCCTGCCTCAGCCTCAGCCTCAGCCTGCTTCAGCCTCAGCCAGTCAGCCTCGGCCTCAGCCTCAGCCTGCCTCAGCCTCCTGCCTCAGCCTCAGCCTCAGCCTCAGCCTGCCTCAGCCAGCCTGCCTCAGCCTCAGCCTCAGCCTCAGCCTCAGCCCTGCTTCAGCCTCAGCCTCAGTCTGCCTTCAGCCTCGGCCTCAGCCTCAGCCTGCCTCAGCCTGCCTCAGCCTCAGCCTCAGCCTCAGCCTCAGCCTCAGCCTCAGCCTCAGCCTGCTTCAGCCTCAGCCTCAGTCTGCCTTCAGCCTCGGCCTCAGCCTCAGCCTGCCTCAGCCTCAGCCTGCCTCAGCCTCAGCCTCAGCCTCAGCCTGCAGCATCAGCCTGCCTCAGCCTCAGCCTCAGCCTGCCTCAGCCTCAGCCTCAGCCTGCTTCAGCCTCAGCCTCAGCCTGCCTTCAGCCTCGGCCTCAGCCTCAGCCTGCCTCAGCCTCAGCCTGCATCAGCCTCAGCCTCAGCCTCAGCCTGCCTCAGCATCAGCCTCAGCCTCAGCCTCAGCCTCAGCCTCAGCCTCAGCCTCAGCCTTGCTTCAGCCTCAGCCTCAGTCTGCCTTCAGCCTCGGCCTCAGCCTCAGCCTGCCTCAGCCTCAGCCTGCATCAGCCTCAGCCTCAGCCTCAGCCTGCCTCAGCATCAGCCTGCCTCAGCCTCAGCCTCAGCCTGCCTCAGCCTCAGCCTCAGCCTGCTTCAGCCTCAGCCTCAGTCTGCCTTCAGCCTCGGCCTCAGCCTCAGCCTGCCTCAGCCTCAGCCTGCATCAGCCTCAGCCTCAGCCTCAGCCTGCCTCAGCAGCCTCAGCCTGCCTCAGCCTCAGCCTCAGCCTGCCTCAGCCTCAGCCTCAGCCTGCTTCAGCCTCAGCAGCCTCAGCCTCTGCCTTCAGCCTCGGCCTCAGCCTCAGCTGCCTCAGCCTCAGCCTGCATCAGCCTCAGCCTCAGCCTCAGCCTGCCTCAGCATCAGCCTGCCTCAGCCTCAGCCTCAGCCTGCCTCAGCCTCAGCCTCAGCCTGCTTCAGCCTCAGCCTCAGTCTGCCTTCAGCCTCGCCTCAGCCTCAGCCTGCCTCAGCCTCAGCCTGCCTCAGCCTCAGCCTCAGCCTGCCTCAGCATTCAAAATGTGGCCCGGGAATGGAGTTCTGGGAACTCGAAGAACACGAAGTGGCCTACAGTTGGCTCCGGGCATGCAAAATCATGCCCAGGAATGGAGTTCTGGGAACTCGAAGACCACGAAGTGGCCTACAGTTGGCTCCGGGCATTCAAAATCATGGCCAGGAATGGAGTTCTGGGAACTCGAAGACCACGAATGGCCTACAGTTGGCTCCGGGCATTCAAAATCATGGCCCGGAATGGAGTTCTGGGAACTCGAAGACCACGAAGTGGCCTACAGTTGGCTCCGGGCATTCAAAATCATGCCCAGGAATGGAGTTCTGGGAATTCGAAGACCACGAAGTGGCCTACAGTTGGCTCCGGGCATCCAAAATGTGGCCCGGGAATGGAGTTCTGGGAAGTCGAAGAGCACGAAGTGGCCTACAGTTGGCTCCGGGCATCCAAAATGTGGCCCGGGAATGGAGTTCTGGGAAGTCGAAGAGCACGAAGTGGCCTACAGTTGGCTCCGGGCATTCAAGATGTGGCCCGGGAATGGAGTTCTGGGAGGTCGAAGAGCACGAAGTGTGTGACTGTTTGCTTAAAACGAGCCCGGTCCTCGCCTGTCCGGCTCCCGCCCAGACCCCCCTGGGGAGCCATCAGATGCTCTCTTTTGACCCCATTAGAAACCTATCAGTCTTCGCTGTTAGGAAAAAAACCCTTGGGCCTGTGGGTCTCGTGAGGGGTGCCCTGGAGGTCATCAGTGCCTCCCAGAAAAGCGGCGCCATCCTGGGCCAGGGTCACTTCTGACAACACCCGAGTGGAGGTGGGACATGAGCTTCGAGGTCGAGGAGTTCCTCCTCGAGGGGATGAACTGCAACACGATGCCGTCCGTCCTGATGCAGATCGGTAAGGTTATCCTGTTTGTGTTCTCCCCTCCTCTGCATCCTCGTTTTTCTCTTCTTCACCTCCTCTTCCGATTCGTCGTCCTGAGCCTCCTCCATCTCCTCCTTATCCTCTCTCATTCTCATTGCGTTGCTTCGCTTCCATATAGTTATGACAGTCTTGACGCAGATCGGCATCACGTCGCCGTCCACGTCATTCTCTCCCCTAGCTTTTCTTCCCCATTGTCTCATTTCCTCCGCGCCCCTGTTTCCCTTCCTTTGCATTTCTTCGTTAACCTACCAGGTATTCAAATGCCGGAGCAATGCTCGTAGTAGTGGTAGGATGGGGAAACTACAACTGGCCCCTATCTTTAAGAGTCCTCCTCTTCCTCCTCCTCGGCGAGGGGGGGCGCTGAGGAGGAGGACCAGGATTTGGAGTTGATGAAGAGGAAGAGGGCGAGGGGCGAGGAGAAGGGTGGAGGGGGAGGTTGAGGAACAGATACGCCAGAGTTTGAATCAACCGTCTCTACGCCCGCGAGAAGTCATCTGGCTGACAGTGGGGCCCCGCCCCTCCTCCTTTGCTGCCCCTTCCCCTCTTCCCCCTCCTTCTCCTTTATGCTGTTGTCGTGCTGCTTCTCCTCCCTTTTCTTCCTTACTCCCTCACTCGAGCGGTATCTATCCTGTCACTGTCGCACCATCCTTGCCAGGTGCTGCCTGTGCCCTCCGCTGCCGCTTCCGCTGCCATGTAGCCTGGCCAGGCGTCGCGCCCGATTTTAGACACGCTATCGACTTGCTCTTTATCCCGCTGGGTGAAAGCATCCCGCTTTTCACATCCACCTTTACATCCTTTTCTCTAATTGGTATCGGAGCTTCGGCTCCAACACCATGGCCGCCATGTCTCGCCGTGCTTCGATGGCACTGGCTTCCACCGTCCACCGCTCTACGTCCAGCTGTTCCTCACGCTGGTCACCCCCGCTGTGCGTCCGCTCTTAATCTCGCCTTCGTGCACCTCTTCTCCTTCACCATGGCAGGGGACGTCATCTTGCGGTCCGTCAGGGCAGCTGCCCATCCGCCAGGACCAGTGACGGTAAAGGCACGCACCTACTTCGACACATACATCAGCGAGACCCACAAGGACCTCAACCGCGCAGCCGCCGACGACGACGAACCTCGTGGCGCGCGGGAGCTGTCGGAGATCCTCCCCGGGCTTGCAATGACTGTGCCGGCGCAGCTCGGGGATCCTTCGCTGTCGATGCGCCCGCTTGTGGGAAAAACCGGGGTCCCGAGCTTCTGGTGACTGTCGTGAGAGCCCTGGGAGGAGCAAGCAGGGATGAGCGGGGATTTAATGAGGGGCCTGGCAATTGCGTCACTAGCGCTCCGAGGGACAAACCGTCGTCGATCTCTTGCAGCCTGGCAGGACTGGGGCCCGATGCGCACTCCTTTCAACGATCGTGCAATTTGCCGTGCTCAATACAGCATGGGTCTGGGATGTTCCGAGCACCGAGATTTATGCAACGGCGCGATTGAAACGAACGCCAAATACGCAGACGAGGAGAAACACACTCGTGGCAAATATTCACGGCGGCTCGGAGGCACGCTTCCCGAACAGCGCCGCTGGTGGATTCCTGGTTCCATCGCCTCCACGACGACGCATGGAGGGGAATGAATGCCAGATGAAGGCCGTCGGAGTGGGCGTGATTTCAATCATCAGCTGCATCGCCTTCGTGGGTGTAGGCGGTGGCAGTGGCGACGTGCTCTACTTCTGCACATTGGGGCCCGATCAGCAGGCTCGAGTTCCTTTGCAGTGGTGCGTGCGCGAGGTGATAGTCTGGTCAATGGTGAATTCAGATCTCAACGACTTTCGCCAGGCTGTCTACGTCTTGTCGCGCCTCGCCAGCATGTCGCGAGAGTGCGTGGGCGCATGACCGCCGGGTGTCCCGACCCAGGTAACTCTCATCAACGGCAGCCGAGTGCCACCGATGACTTCCCCAATGCGCAGTTTGGCCGAACGGCGGGGCCAGCTGGGCGAGGGGGGGGCGCGCTTCGGCAGTGTCGGCGCAGATGAACTTCGACCGATTGCCTGAATGACGCATCGACGACCTCCTCGCTAGGAACAGCAATCTCCGCGAACGGGCGCAGCAAGTTAGTCAATTCATGATTGGCGACGGGGGCCTCAGCTTTCTTGCTACGCGCCGTGGGCGTGTCGAACTTCCAATGGGCCATGATTTTGCAGCGCTGCGACATGGCCTGCTCCGCGGGCCTGCTGCGGCGTTTCGGGCGCGTAGTCGAGGGGTCGCCAGGCAACCTCGCCTCGGCGTTCCACTCTGCCCAACTGCGCACCTTCCTTTCGGGTGCTTCCACGCAGGATCAGGTTCAGGGTGCCTGTGGGGCCGTTGCGGGATCGAGCTGGGATGGCGCGGGTTCAGCTGCGCCGAGATCGGCGCCTTGCCCGCCCGCGCCAGCAGCTGCCGGCGACGCCCGCGCGGCGTCGACAGCACGTGGGGACATTCCCGGCGGCAGGTGTCGACTCAGGTGCCGATTCTGACGCCAACAGTTCCTTCGGCGAAGCAGCCTCCGCGGGCGACCCCGAGCTGTGCGACGTTCCCGTGGAACAATGCGGCACGCGCTTTCTCTGGGCTTGCGAGCGCGCTGGAGCGTGCCGGCGCTGCTTCGACAACAGCGAGCCCGCGCCCTGCGCCCGGGGGTCGCTGCGGCGCGACCGGTCGGCGCGGCGTGCGCGCTCCGGCAGTGGGGGGCGCGGGCGCTGACTTCCCTTTCCGTGCTAGGCCTGCAATCCATGCAGTTCAACGGCGGGGTGGTGGATACAGGCGTTGACCGTGAGCGCCCCGCCTTCCCTGGGCCAGGCGGCTGCGACTGGGGCCCTGGCGCCGTCCGCCTCGATCTGGAGTCCGCGCTGGGTGCGCACTTGTTCATCCCGGTCGACGACTTTGGTGGGCTTCAGCCGCGTTCTGAGGGCCTGCCGCCCGAGCGGCTCACGCTGGTGGCGGTGGCCAGCGGTGGCCAGGAGAACCGCGCCACCGACGGTCGTGAGTGCAACGAGCTGAAGATCCAGCTCGCGCGCGGGCACCCCCGGGGCGCGCCCGCGGCCGCGGGGCACGACTTTTTAGGCAAGCGCGGACGTCAGTGTTGAGACTTGTGGTCGGTCGCTGGCGTCGACGGGCGTGGCGGCCTTGGCGCCGCCAGGCGCTGACATTCGCGTCGCCCTTCGATCGGGACTTGCCATCGGGGGGGTCGATGGCGCGGGGGGCGTGGTGGGCCCCGGCGTCCACGGCGAGGTCAATGTGGTCATATCGAACGCCGGTCCGCGGGCGTACGTGGTCGAGTGGGACAACTGGATCGTCCGGCTCATCCTGGATCGCATCGTCAACAATGGCGAGGTTGTGGTCGTTCCCAACTCTTCTCCTTCGCTTCCTGGATCTGCAGGGTTGGGGCACGCTGGCGTGGCGTTCCTCGGCCGAGACTCCGCCGCGAGAGGGGGGCGGCGCGACGTTCGAGGGGTCTCTCGGTGCCAGTGGCATCGATGGTTGCAAGGTGCTGCTCAACGTGGAAACGGCCGAGCCGGCCCGCCAGGCTGGCCCTGCCGACTTGCCCGGCAGAGCTGGGCAGCAGGGCCAGGGCGCCTCGTCTCGGTTCTAGAGCGAGGAGGGGGCGCGTCCCTAGCACTGCAAGCTCGAGGCTGCGACGTCGTCCGCGCCGCCAATTTCGAGGGTGCCAGACAGTGGTTGTCCGACAGCGCGCCCCCAGCACCGATTGCAGCATGCTGTGGCTTGCCTGCGACGCGCGCGGGGGCGAGGTCCACCTCGTCGCCTTACTTCTTTCCTCGTGCGCTAGATCCAAGGGCGCTGGCGCTGGGATGGTAGTCTTTGGCCAGCATGGCCAACGGAGGAAGCGATCGCCAGCGCGGCAGATGATCGGCGCGCATGTGCTTCACTGGAGCTGGCATTGGGCTTGCCGCAAGGCTCGGGCCCCAGAGGCCAAACGCAGCGGCGTGTCTTCGCGGTGCTTGCCAGAGCTGCGACCTACTACCAGATTGAGGAGCACGTCGACGACTGCCTACTACCTTCTACCTGTGCTGGTCCAACATCTAGCTGGAGGGGCACGTCGACGTCTTGTCGATCATCAACAGACGAGTGTATTTGGTCCTGGCGTGCCGCGAAGTGATGCGACTTGCGCCGTGGAACGGTTGCGCGCCGCCCGGCGGAGGCGTATCGAAGAAGGTGCGCTTTCCACGAGGCGCGCGGGCAGCTTGCCCACCAGACTCGAACGCACTTGCCAGTCTTATGGTCAGCCACAAGCACGACGCCGAGCAGCGCACTCAGGACCACAAGCGCGAACTACCGCGGAGGGCGTCTGGTGACTGTTGCGCCAGCGCCTGCCCAACGGCAGAGTGCATCTGACAGGGGGCGAGGGGGGGCCGCGCACCCCAGACACGCAAGCAGGTTGTCGAGGACTACAGCGACAGCTGCGGCTCTGGCCTCACCGGGCTGGCCCCCTATCTCATGGGCCTTCCAGCCATTGGCCCTGCGACGACCAGCGCGACGAAGACGAGCTCCATGGCAACCTTTTCCGCGGGTTTGCCCGCGCGGTCGTTCCGAGGCTCGCCGGCTCCCGAATGCGGATCGCCAAACAGCCATTCCCCGAATTGTTCTGGGAAGGCATTTCGACCAACCAGCCACCGAACATTCAGGGCAATCGGGCTGAGCTCAAACATCGCAGTCCACCATGTTCGTCTCCATCCACCAGCTCCTCACCCACCTCACTTCGCTCGCTTTCGGCGTTGGCATCATGTAGGTGCGTGGCAGCGAAGCGCGGACTAGCAGACTGGCTATCCGCCGCCACCTTAGACTTGGCAAGATCTTTGACCCCTTCACCGGCTGTGACCTCAACGACGAGAGCCAGCGGCGAGCCATTGAACGATATGCTCGACAACAGCTGCCACTCGTCATCGTCATGGCTCCGTCCAGCGGGCCCTTCCATCGTCGGGCGACCTTCAATAGCGGGCGAAATTG